CTATCGAGAAGACAGTACAACATGGTAGCATGAAGCAGTGGTCCACCAGAAAACTTATTATAAGATATGGAGCAAACATCGTTTTCTTAAAATATTTCTTTAGAAAACATTGTTTTCTTAAAATATTTCTTCATGGATCATTATGACAATGTTAAAAGAATTTCTAAAAAGCATCCCATATGTAAAAGGAAATTAAAATAATATTTGGTATGGAAACCTTGGAAATCAAGATCTGTCTGAATGCATGAGAAGATTTGCCTAAAAATGCTCTAAATAAAAAGAAGTGGTTCAGCCGGATAACTAACCATATAACAGCACCAGCAGCTGCAACTTTGCCAAGCATGCAAAGGCACTCTACCAAGGTCTGCAAATACTTTATATGAAGTGGAGCATCACTCTTTCTCATTGCTTCCTAGATTTAAAAATGAAATCCAGCACTTCAGCCCAGGGATGAGAAACTATGAGAGTGTCAATTTTATGTGTAATTGAGTTCAACACTGTACATACGATAAATTCATCTGGAGTGGAGTTTGAAAGCCATGTTGGAATTTGATGAGAAAATATTTTCATGTCTTTAAGATTTCCATCACCACCATTGATCCTTGCCATATGACCATCTGAACCAGCTTCATCATGTATTCTTGGAGATCCTTCCTCATCATGGCCATCCAATGTTGAACTGAAACACCAATTTATAAATTTAATACAAGAAGAGATAAAAAATGAAAAAATAACTAATAAGAAGAGATCAATCTTAAAATATCAAATAGTATGTGATCAATCTTCTAGCATATCCATGCACGCCAATAATGTTGGATCTAACTACATGAATTTAACAAAAAGAATTGAATTCCATCAGGGAACTATGATCGAAATAAAAATACTAAATCAAGTATAACAGTACGAATATGGAAAAAGGAAATTCTGCAAAAGGCTTATGAGTTCCAAAATGACCAATGATTAACAGGAAAGAAGACAACAGGTACAATTTTTTAACATTTTAAAGGAACAATGGTTCAACAGGAATTTGACACCTTAAGCACATTCTGACTCATGTTCATTTACAGAAGACATAAAATGTGGAAAAGTTTTGTTTTAAGAAAAAGAGGCAGGTTGGGACAAGATAAGAACCAACAAAAGAAAAAAGAAAAAAAGAGAATAGTACTAAATGAGAATTGTGAATTTTTCACCCTTCATCAACAGAAACTGACCTATATGATCCATCTGCAAGTCCATGAGCACCAAACTGATTGTCACCTTTAAGCCTGGTTCTTCTAGAAAGAGATTGTGAATTGTTCATTGTAAATGTAACAGCTACGGTGGTTGGTACTTCATCATCCATTTCATGCAAGTTTGAGGCAACCACACTGCAGGATATATTCTGCCTTAGGGAAAGAAATAGTTCATAAAAGACATAGCTTGAAATAAATAACTCTTATTGTCATGCTAGAAACCTACAGTTATTTTGGATCAAACAATTAGATGAGGAGATCCATAAATTCCTTTTTGGAATCACTCAATGCTATGAATTAACTTTTCAATCCCGACAGAGAAAGTGAGAAAGTATACTTATATGCTGTGGTTAATGCAATCTCAAACCAAAAAGTGAATGAGAATAACATAAAATCATCCCATGTCTAGTTAGGAGGTTCAAATCTATTAATTAGGATTTTAAAGCATACAGCATAGTTAGAATTTTGATCCCTAAGATGACTGAATACCTATATTCGCCCTTATTATAAAGATGTGCATGCAAATCCTCCAAAACTTTATAAAAAAGAACTCCTCGCAACTTTGTCAACTCAGATCGGACATCTTGAAGAGCACCAACCTGCACCACAGTAATCAGAACAAGTTAATGCACGCAAAACATCTAAAAATATCTATATATATCTGACTTCAGAATTGAAGCCCAAAAAACAAAAATATTAAGCTCTTTGAAGCTATGCCAACACTTCAAACCAGCATCCGAAAAGATAAACAATAAAATGGAGCTTTATGGCTCTTATTGAAACTTGAATTCACAATTTTTTAAGCCACAAGACATCAAATCAAGAAATTTGACTTCAAAAATCCAAATAAACAAGTTTCAAATGGGAAAAGTAAAGTTTCATCTCAAGACATTATAAACATAGAATTATCAGAAAATGTAGAAAACCAACCGTTTGAAGGCCCTCTCGCTCAAGCATTATTGCTGATTGAAGATGCAACTGAACTGCGGCATAAAACTGCTTTTCTGCAATGAGCTTCTCAATACGAGCTGGAACCTGAGCCACATTTCAAAAGAAAGGGTCATAACTACTCTCTTCAAACACACACACACATAGCAAGTACAACTCCAGTACAATGGAAAGCTCTCTCTCTTGACTTCCTTAGTTAAAAAAAATCGAGACACTCATAATGGTATAGTGCAGTATATGGCATGAGCAAATTGAATCCAGTACTGATGAAGTAACAAGAGAACAGTGCACTCCTGTCTAGGATGATGTGGAAGGGAGTCAAGCACTCAAATCTTATCATCGAAAAATCATGTAATTATCATTGAATTAAATCTGAATGCTGGAATTACCAATAGACGAACCTTAGCTATGCCTTCAATTTGATCTAAGAGTGAGATGATGTGCCGTAAGGTAACAGACCGATACCACAATTGATGTAATTGCTTATTGCGGGTGCCAAGACGCTCCTTTGCCTCAGCTAAATCAACCTTTAACTCCTTGACACTTTCAGCAGACTCACTGAATAACCGCAATATCTGAAAGAAGAGAAAGGATTGATAAAAATTTAAATGCAAGTGCCAAATCTAATTTTCTTAAAAAGACAGAAAAAGAGTTAGCAGACATCTAAGAGCATAGCACATAAGGAGATACAGCACATGAGCATTTCAGCAATGAAGAATTAATTTTAGTTTTGATTGTAACTTTAGAATTTTGCACCCAATTCCTAATAAAAAAATCATTTATAAATTAATAGGACCACCCATAAGAGCACCTGAATAAGGACTGTGCATGAAATTAGGGGTTTATATTGTAATTTTCAGTTCATTCTGAAGTGGACTGCTGGTTAAACTTTCTTCGAAACCTTTACACTGGGTTACAAAATTTGTTATGTTTCTTCCCCAAGGAAAAAAAAAAAAAAAGTGGTACTCTTTAGGAATTCATCAATATTAATAATCATAATAATAGACGGTTCCAATATTAAAGTAAAATCCTAATGAATTATGCCTCCCAACAAAGAGGTCCAAAATTAAGGTCAAATCCTAATGATCTTATAGTAAAATGATAGGACTTAGGCAGTTAAATGTGATAATATATCAGTGGATGCCAATATACAGACAAGAACAAAAAAAGATTCGCAACCTGAATCTATAGAGATGAACAAAAATAGAAGCAATAATTAAACTGTAGGACCAATCGCACGAGAAAATTTGAACATTCCCTTCATGAAGACTTATTATTCAAATCAATGGACAAGATAAAAACTATAAAGAAACCTGTGAATAATTCTGAATTGCTTTGTTGAAGCCACTGTGATAAGCATGAACGACTTCATCCACCACCTCCTCAATAACATCATTTTGGTCTTTTAGAACTTGAACTTCCCCTTCACGTTCCTTTGATGTTAAAATATGGACTACATGAGGTAAAGAATCAAAACGTGCAGCAACCCAACTCTCATCTATTCTTGCAATCTCTTCCCTTAAATACTGCAGTTATCGCAAGATCACAAAAATTGAGAACGGAATGCATATTAATATTAAAAGATGCACAATGTAGATAGTGCACGATGCTTAATTTGGATTACAAGATAACTAAAAAAATTATCACTTAAAATTTCATCAGTTTTTGACAAAGCTTCGCTATAATTGTTCCTCTGTTTGTGGACCATAACTTACAGGTTAAAAATTAACAAACAAGATATAAACAAAATTCTCTTAACAAAAAATGGAAAACTACCGCTTTCTCAGGACTAATCGGCAATCCATCGAAAATCCCCATTTTAAGTATTTCACTTCAGTGAATGTCAGAGAACTGCAAAGAGTATGATCAGCTCATCACAAAGCTTCAATTCCCACTGAGAAAAAAAAAAAGCAGCCACCTTATAAGCTAATTGAAACATAGCGAAATCAAAACCCATAAAAATATAATCTAGCATTATATACAACTAAAACTGACTGCAAACTTCATTGAATTGGGATGAATTTCCTCTATTATAATATAAACACAAAAGCAAGCACGAAATTCACAATTGTATTTCGCATCCTTTCTCTTGGAAACCAAACAGAAAGCACAATTGAGCAAAAATTAACTCCAGATCGAACACAAAGACCAAGAAAACAAACTAATTAATACTGTAATCGAATCGTGACTTGAGAGAAAGCAAAACTAACACGAAATTCATAGCTAACAAGATCAAAAACCGAATCTAACGAAATTGAAGTAATTAAACCGTAAGTTTGAAGTTCGCACATGAATTAAATTTACGAAAAAGTAAATAAACGGAGCTGAGACTTCGATTCGGAAAAACGAGTGAAGTGCTTAGAGGTACCTGTGAAGCGTCGTTTTGATTCGGTTACTGCATTTTGAAGACAAGAGTTCGTGTGAATAGAGATCTCTTTTGAAGAAAATGAAGAAAAATCAAAAGCTCGCTGTACGGTAAGACAACCAGGCAAGAGAGCTATATCTGGAGCTATCAGACTCAGTAAAATTAGGAAATGGAGCATCCAAATTTGACGGGCGGATCATCCGTAAATCTTTTATAGAAGTCAAATTTTATGGTGGCCCCTAATGTTTTGAAAAATTCAGAGAAATCCTTTTGTTTTTTTTTATAACGTAAAAAGTATATTTGAAAAATACATAAAATTAAAACAGGGGACCCATATGGGCCTACGCGGCCCAACAGCTCAGCTTGGGTCACTGTCATCAATGCAGACGTTGGACTCGTACTCGTACATAATCACTTTCATTTAAATTTTCTCACTAACCAAACGCTGCCTGTCTCCTCCATTACAGTATTACACCACCACAACCGCTACCCCGCCAGAGACGGCGTAACCGAACTAGTTATGGAGCCACCGAACCCATCTCTGGACGAATTCTCTCAATTTCCTCCTCTCCACCTCCAATTCTTCGAACCCCCACCTAACCCTAGCCCGACCCCAGCCCCGGCACCAGCCCCAGAGCCACTGGGTCCACCTCCACCCGCTTACCCCGACCAACTTCTTTCCTTCCCGGTCCCCAGAAAACGACGCCGTGGCAGATCCCAACCCAACCGCAGTGCTTTCTCGGTGTCGTTTCATTTGCCCAATGTCCCAACCACTAACTTACCTCCAAACAAATTACAAGTTCCTGACTCCAACTCTAACACAAACGCCAACTCTTTACCTAAAAGGACGCCGGATATCGGCGAGGAAATTATAGTAATCAACAAAGAGTCAACATCCGAGGCATTAACGGCGTTAACATCTGGATTTCCGGCCGATTCGCTAACCGAGGAGGAGATTGATTTCGGAGTCTGCCGCGTGGTCGGTGGGATTGAGCAGGTGAATTACATTCTCGTTCGTAATCACATACTATCGAAATGGCGCGAAAATGTGTCTCGTTGGGTGAGTAAGGAAATGTTTGTTGATTCTGTGCCTAAACATTGTCATTCTCTGTTAGATTCAGCGTATAATTATTTGGTTTCCTACGGGTATATAAACTTTGGAGTTGCGCCGGAGATTAAGGAAAAGATTCCGGCTGAGCCCAGTAGTAGTAAATTGAGAGTTATTATTGTTGGTGCTGGGCTGGCGGGCCTGGCTGCGGCTCGACAGTTGTTGAGGTTAGGGTTTAGGGTCACGGTTTTAGAGGGGAGGAAGCGGGCAGGTGGGCGAGTTTATACGAAGAAAATGGAGGGAGGGGGAGGGAATAAAGTGAATGCATCGGCTGATTTAGGAGGGAGTGTGTTGACTGGGACGTTGGGGAATCCTTTAGGGATTTTGGCTAAGCAGTTAGGTTGCTGGCTTCACAAGGTTAGAGATAAGTGTCCGCTTTACAGGTTGGATGGGAAGCCAGTGGATCAGGAGATAGATATGAAGGTGGAAGCTGATTTTAATCGGCTGTTGGATAAAGCAAGTAGGTTGAGGCAGTTGATGGGGGACGTTTCGATGGATGTATCACTTGGGGCTGCTTTAGAGACCTTTTGGAAGGTTAGTGAGGATAATGTGAATTCGGAGGCAATGAGTTTGTTTAATTGGCATTTGGCAAATTTGGAATATGCTAATGCAAGCTTGTTGTCTAAGCTTTCTTTAGCATTTTGGGACCAGGATGATCCATATGATATGGGAGGTGATCATTGTTTTTTGCCAGGAGGGAATGGGAGGTTGGTTCAGGCATTGGTTGAGAATGTGCCAATTTTGTATGAGAGAACTGTAAATACTATTAGATATGGTAGTGATGGGGTTCAGGTGATTGCTGGGAGTCAGGTATTTGAGGGTGATATGGTGTTGTGTACAGTTCCCCTTGGGGTTTTGAAAAGTGGTTCAATTAAATTTATTCCAGAGTTGCCTCAGAGAAAGCTGGATGCAATTAAGAGGTTGGGATATGGGTTGTTAAATAAGGTTGCAATGCTCTTCCCATATGTGTTTTGGGGAACCGATCTTGATACATTTGGACATCTGACTGATGATTCGAGTAGTCGAGGGGAGTTCTTTCTGTTTTACAGCTATGCAACAGTTGCTGGTGGTCCTCTCTTGCTTGCTTTAGTTGCAGGAGAGGCTGCACATAATTTTGAGAGCATGCCACCTACTGATGCAGTGACCAACGTTCTTCAAATTCTCAAAGGTAATTTGCCCATCTCAAACTGTGTTTTGCCTCCTGCATGTTAGTTTTTGTGTTGTCTTGCATGGGTTTTGTGCATATGTGTGTGTACATGTGTGTGCACATGCATGCAAGAAATGAAACATATGTAACTTGGGCATTTACTCTCTATTAGCAAGTAATACGTGTCATTCACTCATATGGCTCATGTCAAGAACTAAACTACTCATGTCAAGAACTAAACTATGTGATTGTGAATTTCCTTACTAGTCAGATGATTTTAGCATGTGCTCAATGATTATGCAGGTATATATGAACCACAAGGAATCAATGTCCCAGAGCCTATCCAAACTGTCTGTACAAGATGGGGTAGTGATCCTTTTAGCTTAGGTTCTTATTCTAACGTTGCAGTAGGGGCATCTGGAGATGATTATGATATAATGGCAGAAAGTGTGGGGGATGGACGACTCTTCTTTGCCGGGGAGGCCACCACTAGGCGATACCCTGCAACTATGCATGGAGCTTTTCTTACTGGGCTTAGGGAAGCTGCAAACATGTCTCACTGTGCCAAAGCTCGAGCCTTGAGGATGAGAGTAGGCAGAAACCCATCAAAGAATTCTCATACATGTGCTTCTTTACTGGCAGATTTGTTCAGGGAACCTGATTTAGAATTTGGGAGTTTTTCTGTTATTTTCAGTCAAAAGACTGCTGATTCAAAGTCAGCGGCTATTTTAAGGGTGACATTTAATGAGCCTCGAAAGAAAAATCATGAAGGATCAAGACCAGATCAACAGCATTCAAATAAAGTGCTTTTTGAGCAGCTTCAATCACACTTCAATCAGCAACAACAGCTTCATGTTTACACTTTATTAACAAGGCAGCAGGTGCTTGATCTGAGAGAGGTCAGAGGAGGTGATGACATGAGGTTGAACTACCTCTGTGAAAAGTTGGGAGTGAAGCTGGTGGGGAGAAAAGGTCTGGGATCTACTGCTGACTCAGTCATTGCTTCCATAAAAGCTGAGAGGGTCATTCGCAAAACTTCTTCAACTTCGGCTTCAAAATCTGGTGAGAAACCTTAAATCTTTTCTTTTTCTCCTTTCCCTCTATTGGTGACATGCTGCTCATTGAACTTTTAATGACATTTTATGGTTTTTGAGTAGGTACTTTGAAGCTGAAAACTGGCACTTTGAAGCAAAAAGTGGTCAAGTATGAGCTGAAGTCTTGGTATCGTTGTCTCTGTATCATCTGATCTTGAATAACTGTCTTACTAATTATAATATTTCTCTTTTAATAAAATTTTCAGAAAGGCCAAAACAATAAGCAATGGCAAGAAATCAGTACCATCTCCTAACAAGCCAATAACTCTTCTTAATTCGAAGATGGTGAATGCAAATGTTTCAGAGGAACATAAGATTACAAATCAAGTGCCTACCAACGCTTCTGGTTCAGGTATGCGAGAATTTTTTTTTTAATTTGCTCTTACGTATCTTCTTTTTTTGTATGTTTAGATATTTTGTTGAAAAGAATGCTAATATCTTCTCCTAAAGCATTAAATGATTGAAAAGTTTGCTTTACTTATACTTGCAAAACTGTGAAAGTGAAATAAATAATATTTTCAAATGGTCAAGTTTACCCATATGTTCGTATCAAATTGAAACTTTATGTCAAAATTTTACAATAGAATATTGAATCAGTACTTCTGTTTTGTTAGGGCAAGGTGTGACATATTAAATCAATGATCAGATAGTCTTCTGTCAAGAGGTGAGAGAACTACTGGGACCCAGTTGAAAGTGGTTTCAAAATTTTTTGTAGAAGTGGCGAGATGTCATAAGCTGAGGCTCTTCTGTTAATCACCCTGTGGAAATTTTAGAGATCTCTATTGTTAACCATGTAAAGACTAAAGAGGTTCCTCCCAGTTGCAGAAGCACAAAACAGCTGATGTGGGCTTCTACGTTGATAAGCTAAAAATCAAATATCTACCTGAAGAAGTCCTCTTGGACCAAGAAATGAACATCGCTCAGGGTGTTCACCATTGCCTCTCCACAGTGCATGAATTACCAAGGATGGTGATCTCAGCCACCTGATTTGACTGTATGGACGCCTACAAATCATGAAGCTGGTTGCTAAGTTGACGGGAGTTGGGCCTTGATCCTTTTCAAATTCATTGTATTCCCGTTTGTTTTAACTGGTGCCCTGTTTGGATCTGAGCCTCTGGCAAAGTGGAAAAGAATTCGAGCATGGCTTCAAGTTTCTGATTACTGTTATCAATTACACCTTTTATGAGGATGCAGCATTATCATCCGGAAGGCTGCTGCCTAATGATCTACATGCTGCGGTGCAGTGACTTCTGCTTCACTTCGGACCTTATTGAGGCTCTAGTGTTGAAATCTTGTACTTGGCACTCTGTGATTTAAGTTCCTAATTGGCACATGTTAAAGTTCGCCGAAAACTCTCAAGTCCAAAACCGGCACTGGGTGACTTGAGCCCGGAAAAAGCTAGTCTCTGGCAGCTTTTGAATTTCATTTTCAGCGGTCAACAAAAGAATTATTTCAGCTGCTGCACTTTATCTTTTATTATTAATGATAAGAAGTCTGTGTAAATGAATTTCAATTGTTAAATTAAACAAGTTAATGGCATGATTGAGCTGCCCATCCTTTGAAATAATCTCACCCTATTTTGATACCATTTTTCTTTTGTAAGATACCACTTTACATCTGATACCAAACAATTGCTCTGGAATTTCTTCAGAAGTAACTCATTTTTGGAATATCATCTGTACAATTTATGCACTTCTTTTGGGATATGAGTATGACATCTACAACAACTAACAAATGCCTTGGCATTTCGTTGAAAAGGCAGCTGTAATGACATTTCATAGAAGGATTTGCTTCAGAATTTATACTTGATACTCTTCTCCTGTAAATGACGAACAGTATATGCATGGTACTGAAGTAAGAATTTCTTTGAAACACCATTACTGAAGTATCTTGGGACATTTGAGAAGTTCAAAGAAAATCAGTGGAGATTTTTATGTTTACAGCTAACAGCCTAACATAACTCATTGATGAATAACCAGTGGCACAACAAATCAGCGGTATATAATCATTATACAGGGGTAATTTTATAACAAACAGTATTTACAAGCTAAAGCTTTGATAAACATCCTTTTCTGCCTTACGCATCAGTTGCTTTCTTAAAGTTATCCAAGTCACATTCAGCCCCTCCCAACCATTCTTCAAGTTTGGCTTCTTTATCTGCTTTAAAATCATCGTAAATTTCTGACAATGACGATATATTTTGGGGTGAAATGCTGACATCATCAACTTTTACCTCCTCCTTTCCTTCTTCTACTTCTTTTTCAAGGAGGTCATCTGCAACCTCACTTGACAGAGGCAGTTCATCAGATTCCATATCTGCCCGAGAAGAACTTGTACTAACAGATGCGACTGATAGTGGTGGAGTAGGACAAGACAATAGCTTCTCACCCTGTGCTAAGCTGGTATCTTTTGGATCAACTTGTGGCCACTTGAAATTACTGGCCTTTTGTTTTGCTGACTTGAATACATTAGTAAAATAACTACTATTCTGTTCATCATCCGGATGGGTAGGAGCTGAACCACGACCCCAAGTGACTGGGCCCCAGGAGCTAGTTCTCCCCATCTGAAAACTGAAAGTTCGTTTATGGATTAAACCTTTCTTTGGTTGTCTCATTGACATAACTGCAAGAGATTTCCTGATGTCTTTTATCATATCATCAGCTATAGAGAAACCACATTCTTTCATTGAACTTGCCATGCTGACGGAATCCTCCAAATCTTCAGTGTGCAAACTAGTTTCACGAGACTTCTCCACAACATTGTTCTTGATATTAACAAGGTTGGGAACCGCATTTTGAGCGTGCTGCTGTATATAGAAAAGCCCTACTGAGGGCTCATTCGCCATGTATTTAATCATCTCTGCCAAGTTTTCAGTTATCTCCACAAAGCCATCAACAGTGGAGAATCCATGCATCTTCCTGAAGGTGAATGGCAGTTCATCACTGATTTGTCCAAAATAACAAAGAAAGATGCATATCAGAGAAGAAGAAAGAGATTGTTAAATGGAAAATAAAGAGGTATACTCTTCAATGTAGATATTAGTTAAGTAGTTTTCTAATTCATCACCACAACAAACTTGTCACAAACATAATAAACATACAATCTTGTCCACACACAAAAAGTGGAAAACCGCACCCTAAATCGTTCTATTTTAGAAAATGGGTTTCCTGCACATGACAACAGTTAGGAAGTCTATTAATCAGAAATAATTGAACCTCGTAGTTTAAAATGATTGTGCATACAAAATCAGTTGGTACCACACTACGTTTCAACCACTAATCTGGAAAACTGGAGAGAAAATGAACAACATGCTTGGCTCCCATGCAGAAATGGACTTATCACACACCTCATATCTATTTTTGCAGTTAGATTAATGCAATACAGAATATGCACCTTCCAACACTATCATGAGCAAAGAAAGTATCTTCTGATAAAAACTTTCTCTTATCACCTTAAATGTTATATACTAGGTGCAGAAGAAGAAGAAGTCATAAGAAACTTAAAACAACAGTTGGTTGACTGATATTAGCTCTACAAATTTCTCCAGGCTCAGAAATTAATGATGTCATAGCTCATGGGGTATTAACTCAGCCAACAATAACTATAACAGATTTAGCATCATTAGCTTCAGGAATCACTTTGGGTATTTCTTTTATTTGAGTGTGAGAATTAAAGAGGTCTAATTGAACTTAACATTTAACAAAACTATAGTTTCATCTATTTTTACTATGGCTAGGAGCAACTGATAGACAGGATATCAACCACAGACCTATCTATGCACACTAGTTAATGAGCAACTAGTTTCAACCTAAATGGCAAACAAAGAGTCAGATTTATAATACTTGACACAAGTTAACAAAGCTTCATCCCGATTACCAACCGCTTGGGGAAGAGATTCCGGGATTCCACACTCTTTTTTTTGTAATAAGAAACTCAAGAAAACTTATAAACATGTGGAAAAAATTACAAAGAGGTGAAAAAAGCTGTCGGCAGTGTATGTGTATGTAGTATGAGTAAAGACAGCGCCCCAAAATAAAAGATACAGGACATAAAATTAAAAATAAAAACAAAAAAAGGTCCTCAAATCTACAAAAACCCTAAAACTTAATTCCTTTAATCACATCCCGGCGGCCTTGCAATAGTTCAGAATAAAGAAAAAAGGCACATCTTGTGATTTCTTACTTACATAAACATTAGAGAAAATCTAGACAAAACAAAAAACGATGGTGATAGGAAAATGCCAATAGGATCGTCAATATCCTCCTAGCTTATACATCAAGCATCTTAATTTGATTTCATAAATTGACACACAGTTCTTCAATCCCTATCAAAATCTGGAAATATCTTATTTGAACATAAACTATTATTGAACCAACAAACACCATAAATCGCTATGACCTTAGCTAATTCAAGAGAACTCAACACAGCCCTCTTCACAACAAACATTATTTCGAATAAGTATTCTCCAACAGAACCCATCAAACCCAAGACAAAAAACAGGCATAATCCAATACCGCAAAAGACCAGGTAAAAACCAAAACCCATCTCTCAAAATCATCAATTTACTCAAATTGTAAACACATGAATCGCGTCTAACTAATACAGTAAAAAAGAAGGTAGAAATCAAAATCACTTACAGAAAAATCCCTAGAAGAAAGAAAATAATTTGTGGCTGCCTTTTCTCTTTACTTTAGCTGTATTTTTCTTCGTTACTGGGTTGTGTCCGGTTGCTCCAAATCCATGTCCAGAAGCATATCTATCGTCTTTTGTCTCTCTTGTTTTAAACCTTAGAAGTCAATAACTCACCGTCCTCAACCACAACCAATGCCAAATAGAGACAAAAGCAGAAAAGTATATTTGGAGCTCTCTTTATTATGTATAACAGACAATTTTTTTAAATAATAATAAAACATATTTTTTACTAAATAAAATCCTATTCTATTGCCTTGAAGGCATATTTTAAATAAATTGTTATTATTATTATTAAAAAAAAAAATCTTTGGTGTAATAGAAATATTCAGGGTAGAATTGTAAAATCTTATTTAATTAAATATTGGATGTTAATGAAAAATACTTGTTCCATTTATTAAAAAGTAAATAAGTTAATCATTAAATATAATATCCAAATATTAAAATTTGTTGTTATTTTTGAAATTATCTTGTAAATCAACAATGTTTTTGATGTTGTATTTCTTTTCTTTTTTGGTGATGGGGGTATTCGGACCAATTTGTGCATTCCTCAATTAATCTCTAGGGCCTTAAAGTTAATGATCGGGCAAATCTTCGATGGTCATCTTTATTAACAACCGAGGTGAATCGAATTCAGGACCTCTTAGGGTCCCTATTCAACCACTCAACCATCCAAAGGTGGTTTTGATGTTGGAGTAATATTACGCTGACACTTTTCATTAATTTTCTCTCACAAACGCGATGTGTTAGTTTGCAATTTGTTAGCTTATAATAAGTCATGTGCCCAACAATGAGTCCTACTTGACAAAATATGAGAGCTAAGCAATTATAAACTATCACGTCGCATTTGTGGGAGAAAGTATTCGTTTGTTACCTATCTTTGTTCTCTGACGTTGTATTTCATGTTCTTATATTAGGGCATGTAGTTTTATGATGTGTTTTTTAAGTGTTTTTGTATTAATTATTTATAAACTTTTATCCAAGTAAATAAATATTTTTTTAAATTTATGTATTTGTACTAGAGTTTTCCTTCACTTCACACCCCAGGAAAATGGTGATAAAGAAGAAAAATAGCAACACCAATAGTGACGAAGACGATGAAATCTTCTACTACCGCTACGCCTCCACGGCCGCCCCCAACGTCGCTTCGTCATCATCTTCAGAACCCACATCCAATGGACCCCACAAGAAATCCAAGGGCTCAAAAAGCTTAGCCCCTTCTAAATCAACGATCTACATTTCGAACCTCGACTACTCCCTCACAAACTCCGACCTCCATATGCTCTTCTCCACCTTCGGAAAGATCGCTCGTGTCACCGTCCTCAAAGACCCTGCCACGCGCAAGTCACGTGGCGTTGCCTTCATTCAGTTCGTCAACATTCCCGACGCGCAGACCGCAGCGCGTGCGATGCACGGGAAGATCCTCAACGGCCGCACGGTCACGGCGAGCATCGCAACGGACAACGGGCGCGCGGCATCGTTCATAAAGAAGAGGGTTTATAAAGACAAGTCAAGGTGCTATGAGTGTGGGGTGGAAGGGCATTTGAGTTACGAGTGCCCGAAGAATTAGTTGGGGCCCAGAGAGCAGCCGGAGCCGAAGAAAGTGCGGCAGAAATTCGACGTCGAGGATGAGAACGAGAACGAGAATGCAATAGGTTTTGATGATGGGAATTGGGCTTCGGTTGTGGATGATGGAGCTCAAGAAAGGTTGATTATGGGAGAGGAAGAGACTGAAGAAAAGAAGAAAAATGTAAAGAGAGTGAGTTATTTTAGTGATGAGAGTGGTGAAGATGATTGATTTGAGGTAAGTTGTATTTTTTTTTTTTTTTTCAATAGTAATTTTTTTTTATAATTAATTTGCTTTAATAATGAAAAATAGAAGTATGGAGACTTTTGAGTTGTTTAGCCAAATGGGTTAATGTATTGGAAGATGTTTATGGTCTTTGTAGCTGAATCTGAAAAAAGTGGGAAATATTTTTGCTTTTTTGAACAGTTTTTATGAGGAATCTGAAGAAGAAAATAATTGAATTGAGTTTTGATTTGCTTAGAGGAGATGTAGTTTATTGGTAGATTAGATGTTTCTTACTACTTTGTATAATTTGCATGATTATTCAAATTGCTTCTTCAACACATTGATGCTACGTTTGACTTGATTGAAATTAGAGGGTTATGGTATTTTTGGAACCCTTTTATCTCCACCTTATTACTGTAAATTTATGCCTTAGATGAAAGTCATGAAACTCCTTGTAATTAGCAATCCCCTGTATTATGCTTCACGAATTGCTGAGCAAGCCTTCTGTTGATGCGTGATTTTGACATCAACTAAACGCACGTGTGAGATGTTGAGCTGGCCCAGAAAACACACGTGAATGATAGGTAGATGTTATGCCTGGAAAAGTAGGGCTGATGCAAGAGCCCTGTCAGCTCGAATGGTTAAACCTCGGGAAGGTCACGCTGACATACAGGCGCAGCCATGTCGTGTGGTGACATGAGCAGCGCACTCCTGTCAGTGAAGTGGGCGCACGCCAGACTGAAGAAAGGCTGGAGGATGTCCATGTATCTAAATCTCTGCACACGTCGCATAAAACCCTTAAAGTAGGTAGGCAACAGGACATAAGGAAGGATCTACACGGTATCCGTCCCCCTTTCGACGGATTCAGTAATGATTACACCAATGTATCCCACTATAAATAGAGAGCTTTTCTCTCGTTTGTGAGATTCGCTCATTCTACTCTTTATTAGCTCAATTTGCTCTGTAATAACTATCTCTCTCTCTCTCATTTGTATTCTCCTGTAAAGTCAGCTCGTTAGCCCCGACCTGATCCCCCAAAATATAAATTCATCAGTGGATGTAGGATTCGCTTTTAAGCATCCGAACCACTTTAAGCATTGTCTTGCCACCGTTTACATTTTCTATCTATCATTCACGTGTGTTTTCTGGGCCAGCTCAGCATCTCACACGTGCGTTTAGTTGGTATCACGCATCAACAGTTTAGACGCATCAACAGTTTGGCGCTAGAAGGAGGGCTTCACTTAGTATTCGTCCTTCATCAAGAGAATCTCTAACTTATTGGTCCTACAACAGCAAATGGTCTGCCGACTTGAACTTGAGTGAACCAATCAGAGGGTTGAGGAGATCCCCCAAGCAAGGACACCCCTCTTGAGGTACCTCCAGTTCCGTTAAATGTCACAGGGGATATTCCTTCAAGTTCATAACTTGACCCCGCCATCAAAAGCTATCTGGAGAGGTTCGACAATACCCTCCAGACGGTCAACCGAAGGTTGGACCGTTTGGATCAGGGCATGCCACCCGAATCAGCTAGGGCGGTGCAACCGCAAAAAACGCCTGCAAGTCGCGCGAAAGCGCAACAAAGGGCGATAGCCCGTGCCGCGAGCACTGCAGCGCATAAAAGAAAGGGTAAGCAAATGGCGAAAAACGGGCCTAAAGGCTCTAAAGGGCCGGCGAACACCGACCACGTCCTGAATAGAATACCAGTGGCGTTAAGACTCGGCAAAAGGTCACAGCCCGAGCCATCTCATGCCACGTCGCATACACACCCCCATAAAGTGCTGGGCTGGGCAATTCCTATCACTTCCAGAAAAACGATCATGATCGTCATCGTGCGGGAGGTTCCCACACTTTGCAGGGCGGTTCGTACCACCACAAAGGTTGTGAAAATTTCTCGCACCATCCATCGTCATCACACGACTCTAGCCAGCGTGTGTCGAGAGCGGCCGGAACTGTCGGCCGAGGCGAAGAGGAATCCGACCTCTAGACTTTCCTCAATAACAATCACGAGGGTCGAACTCGCATGGGCGAAAGCAATCCCCAAATGGCTCCACTGCCTCATATTGAGGAGCTACAGTGAGCTTTAGATCAGCTAAAAGCTCAACAAAACAAGCAAAGGCAGGTCGCAGCAGCGTCTCCCTTTTCTCCGATAGTATTAGCTGCCTCTATCCCATCAAGATTTAGAATGCCCGATATGCATGCGTTTGATGGAAATTCTGATCCATAGGATCACTTATATGAATTCAACGACCTGATGGAGCTTCACCAGGTTTCAGATCTAGCAAAGTGTCGTTGTTTGGCAGTAACTCTAACCTCTCATGCCAAACGATGGTTCAGGTCGCTCCTAGCGGGATCGATCAACTCATGGCCTCAGATGAGCGCGACGTTTCTGGGGCACTTCTAAGCGAACTAAAAATTCTCAATGCCTTTAAGCTACCTCAGCAATATAAGGCAAGAGAGGGATGAATCCCTCCAGTCTTACATCGATTGATTCTATAGAGAACTTAATAAGGTAGCTCACACTCCCAAAGAGTCTGTTCGGACTCTCATTATAGCGGGAGTTTGCCCACAAACCTACCTGTGGAAAAAGTTACAAGCTGAGGATGATGTTTCCCTCACTCGCTTTTATAACCTTGTAGAGAAATACCTCTGTATTGAAAATTTCGTGGCGGCACTCCACCGCCGTGACCCCGACGCTTCAGGTAGTGCGCCTGGTCGGAGGGAAAGTAGGGGAGCTGATCGAAAATGGGTTACTAACGATCAACGAAAAGGAAAGAAACCGCGCTATGAGCCCAAAAAGTCTTATGCCCCAGTTTTTCGTCACGATCGCGACAGAAATCAGTATACACCTTTGAATGCGTCTGTATCGACCATTCTTGATCAGTTGGAAGAAGCCAGCCTGCTCGGAGAGCTTGAGCCCATGAAAAATTCCCCATTAGCCATAAATAATAAAAAATATTGTCGCTTTCATCGGGATAATGGGCATCACACCGATGAGTGCCGAGCTCTCAAACAGGCAATTGAAGACCTCATCAAGCAGAGGCATTTCAAGGAATATATTGACAACTATACTCCCGCACAAGAGAAAAATCAAGGGGAACCAGGAAAGAAGCGTCATGACCGCAAAGGTACATGCAGCGTCAATTTGATCTTCAGGGGGCCGCACCTCGCGGGGAACTCGCGATGTGCCCAGGAGAGATATGCTCGCACAACCCATCACGACCTTATCAGTGTGATGAGCACGATGCAATGACCACAAATGGTTCGCATGGAGGAGGAAATAACCTTCTCCGAGAAGGGTGCAGCTTAATTGCATCATCCCCACGATGACGCTCTTATAATCACGCCCCTCATAGGGCGCCATAACATCCACAGAATGTTGGTAGATAACGAAAGTGCTGTGAACATCTTATTCCAGACAGCTTTCGAAAGAATGAACTTAGACGAGGCCGACCTGAAGCCCGCCTCGATCCCCTTATATGGTTTTACGGGGGACCACCTGATCCCCAAAGGAACGATCTTATTTCTAGTCACGCGGGTGACTTTGATGAAGTGACCAAGGTAACTGAATTTTTGGTAGTGGATTGCCCATCCGCTTTTAATGGTATCCTAGGGAGACCTCTGCTGAGAAACTTCAAGGCAGTCACTTCGATATACCATCTGAAGATGAAGTTCCCCACCCCGACGGGGATAGGGGAAGTTAGCGGATCTCAGCGCGCATCTCGTGACTATTACGTAAAAGCAGTACAGATGGCGTGCAAAAGGAAAGGTATCTCGCGCAACATTCCCCGACAAGCAATGGCGATCAGCCAAATCGAGCCACAGCCTGGTCCAGCCGAGGATAATATGGATCCTCGTATTTAGGAATGTCTTTCCAACAGGTCAGTTGAGGATCTGTCTGAAGTATCGGTCGACTAGAACGAGCCGAGCAGAGTGTTAAGGATTGGGAGCAATCTCAACCCCCAGCTCGCCACCGAGCTAATCAGCTTCCTTAGAGAGAACATCGATGTGTTCGCTTGGTCGCATGCAGATATGGTCGAGATCAGCCCGGATATTATTTGTCATGCATTAAACATCGACAGTGAAGCTAAACCGGTTCGCCAAAAGAGAAGAGCGATGGATCCGGAATGATATGTCACCTTGAAACTTGAGATAGATAATCTCCTTCGGAATAGATCCATCCGAGAAGCGCTCTATCCGACCTGGGTTGCCAACCCGGTTCTAGTAAAGAAGTCCAACGGCAAATGGCAAACCTACGTCGATTTCACCGACCTCAACAAGGCATGCCCAAAAGATAGCTTTTCCCTACCTAGAATCGACCAACTCGTGGATGCCACCTTCGGGCACGAGCTGCTGAGTTTTATGGACGCGTACTCGGGATATAATCAAATTCCGATGTACGCGCCTGACGAAGAGCATACGTCCTTTGTTACAGATCGGGGGATGTACTGCTACAAAGTTATGCCCTTCGGTCTCAAGAACGCTGGCGCAACTTACCAGCGGCTGGTTAACCGAATGTTCTCCGAACAGATCAGAAAATTGATGAAGGTCTATGTAGATGACATGCTGGTCAAGTCGCATGTCGCTTCAGATCACATAGCACATCTAGCTGAGATGTTCGACATCCTCCAACAATACATAATGAAGCTAAACCCCCTCAAGTGCTCATTCGGAGTATCCTCGGGAAAGTTCCTAGGATATATGGTTAACTAACGGGAATAGAGATCAACCCCGAAAAAATCCAAGCTCTCCTCGATATGAAAAACCCGACCAACAAAAAGCAGGTCATGGGCCTCAATAGGCAAATAGCGGCACTTAGTCGCTTCATATCGAGGGCAACAGATCGTTGCTTGCTATTCTTCAATGTTCTAAGGGCCAATAAAAAGTTTGAATGGACTCTCGAGTGTGAACAAGCATTCCAGAGTATTAAAGAGCACCTTGGGAAGCCATCTCTTCTGTCCAAGCCTCTCTCGCAAGAGATCCTCCTCCTGTATCTGTCCGTCTCTCAATTCGCGGTCAGTGTAGCCTTAGTTCGGGAAGAGGACAAGGTCCAATGACTAGTGTATTACGCGAGCAAGCATCTATTGGATGCCAAGATGCGGTATCCGGAAATGAAACGGTTAGCCTATGCCCTGCTGATCACTTCCAGAAAGTTGTGACCTTACTTCCACGCCTATACGATCCATGTAATGACTAATTATCCGCTCAGGCAGGTCCTCCGGAAGCCGGAGGCGTCGGGTAAATTGCTTAAATGGGCCATGGAATTAAGTCAGTTCGATCTGAAGTGCAGACCGAAATCAGCTATCAAAGGGCAGGCTGTTGCCGACTTTATATCAGAATTCTCATATTTTCCGACGAGTAAGTCGGAGCAACAGCCCAGCGAAGCCATTCAGGAAACTGCTAAAAATATATCGACTTGGAGCCTCTACGTCGATAGATCATTGAACAAAAAGAGGGTCGTGCAGGTCTTCTCCTTTTGAGTCTCGAAAGGGCTCGCATTCATGGCATTCTCCGGTTCGGGTTTAAGGCAACCAATAATGAGGCCGAGTATAAAGCTCTGCTCGCTAGGCTGCGGTTGGCCACAGAAATGGGTGCAACCGCGATTAGTATCCGCAGCGACTCCATGCTGGTCGTTAACCAGATTTTGGGAGAATACCAAGATAAGGAAAAAAATATGATCCGCTATTTGAAGAAAGCTAAGGCCGCACTCGAGCCGTTCAAGCACTTCACGATCACTCAGATTCTCAGAGATAATAACTCTATGGCAAATGCCTTGGCAAGGATAGCCTCGTCATTAGACTCAGATGCATCTGATAACATTCCTGTTCGATTCATCAAGACCCTCAGTATCAGCTCGATCAAACAGGCCGTGAATGTAACAGAATCAGATTCCTGGATGACCCCTATCATTCATTACCTCAGGGACGGGACCTTGCCTGACGACAAGGTCGAGGCAAGGATTCTGTGAACAAGATCTACTCGTTACACCCTCATCGGAGGCCAACTGTACAGGCAAGGGTTTAGCGCCCCTTTCCTCCGATGTGTAACCGATGAAAAAGCAGATTACATCATGAGGGAAATACATGAAGGGATCTGCGGTAATCACATCGCTGCACGATCTCTCGCCAACAAAGTTGTTCGTCAAGGGTACTATTGGTCCCTAATCCAAGAAGACACCTACAACTTTTTCAAAAGGTGTGACAAGTGCCAACGGTTCACAAACATACCGCGAGCTCCTTCCCACCAACTGATAACCATGACCAGCCCCTGGCCATTCTCCATATGGGGAATCGATCTCATTAGTCCCATGCCAGTCGGTAGAGGGGGAGTCAAGTGTGTCGTGGTCGCAGTAGATTACTTCACCAAATGGGTAGAAGTCGAGCCATTAGCCGCAATCACGACCAAAAAGCTCAATGACTTCGTTTTCAAGAACACTGTGTACCGCTACGGGATTCCTCATACCCTCATCTCAGATAATGGTAAACAGTTCGACAACGAGGAGTTCAAGCAGTTTTGAGACGAGCTGGGTATTCATAAAAAATTCGCCTCAGTCTCGAGACCGCAAGCAAATGGTCAAGTTGAAGCTGTCAACAAAACCATCAAGCACATTCTAAAGGCCAAACTTGGCACAGCCAAGGGGAATTGGACCGACGACCTTCCAGAAGTCCTATGGGCATACAAGACAACTCCGAGAACCTCTACCTCAGAAACCCATTTTTCGCTGGCATATGGTTACGAAGCGATGATCCCTATGGAGGTAGGAACTAGTTCACTACGGAGGGACTTGTACAGCAAAGCCGACAATGAAGCGCTTATGCAAGCAAGTCTGGATCTTGTTGAAGAACATCGCAGCAAGGCTCTGCTAAGAATAGCAATCTATCAGCAACGTGTGAAAAGGTTCTTCGACTCTAAGGTCAGACGAAGAGACTTCTAGGTCGGCGACCTTATATTGAAGGAAGTTCTTCTCGGTGCTAGAAAACCAAGTGCGGGAGTTTTGAGACCGAACTGGGAAGGCCCATACCGCATCGTCAGAGTGATAAGACCGGGGACTTACCATCTGAAAAGGCTGAATGGTTCCGTAGTACCACGAGCTTGGAATGCTGAACACCTCCAACCTTACTATCAGTAATTCCGAACTCATTTTTTCCTTGTAAAGCTTTTATTTTTCGTAACACATTAGATCAATTACAAACTGACACGTTGCTTTTGTGAGATAAAGTTAATGAAAAGTGTCAGCGTAGTATTACTCCAACATCAAAACCATCTTTGGGTGGTCGAGTGGTTGAATATGGACCCTAAGAGATCTTGAATTCGATTCATCTCGGTTGGTAATAAGGGTAACCACCAGAGGTTTGCCCGGCCATTAACTTCAAGGCCCTAGAGATTAGTTGAGGTGCATGCAAGCTGGTCCGGATGCCCCGATCACCAAAAAAGAAAAGAAATACAACATCAAAAACATTGTTGATTTACAAGATAATTTCAAAAATAACAACAAATTTTAATATTTGGATATTATATTTAATGATTAACTTATTTACTTTTTAATAAATGGAACAATTATTTTTCATTAACATCCAATATTTAATTAAAGAAGATTTTACAATTCTACCCTGAATATTTCTATTACACCAAAGAAATTTTTTTTTTTTTTAATAATAATAATAACAATTTATTTAAAACATGCCTTCAAGGCAATAGAATAGGATTTTATTTAGTGAAAAATATGTTTTATTATTATTTAAAAAAATTGTCTGTTATACATAATAAAGAAAGCTTCAAATATACTTTTCTGCTTTTGTCTCTATTTGGCGTTGGTTGTAGTTGAGGACGGTGAGTTATTGACTTGTAAGGATTAAAACAAGAGAGAGAAGAGACAATAGATACGCTTCTGGATATGGATTTGGAGCACCCGGACAGTAACGAAGAAAAATACAGCTAAAGTAAAGAGAAAAGGCAGCTACAAATTATATTCTTTCTTCTAGGGATTTTTCTGTAAGTGATTTTGATTTCTACCTTCTTTTTTACTGTATTAGTTAGACGCGATTCATGTGTTTACAATTTGAGTAAATTGATGATTTTGAGAGATGGGTTTTGGTTTTTACCTGGTCTTTTGCGGTATTGGATTATGCCTGATTTTTGTCCTGGGTTTGATGGGTTCTGTTGGAGAAGACTTATTCGAAATAATGTTTGTGGTGAAGAGGGCCGTGTTGAGTTCTCTTGAATTAGCTGAAGGTCATAGCGATTTATGGTGTTTGTTGGTTCAAGAATAGTTTATGTTCAAATAAGATATTTCCAGATTTTGATAGGGATTGAAGAACTGTGTGTCAACTTATGAAATCAAATTAAGATGCCTGATGTGTAAGCTAGGAGGATATTGACGATCGTATTGGCATTTTCCTATCACCATCGTTTTTTGTTTTGTCTAGATTTTCTCTAATGTTTATGTAAGTAAGAAATCACAAGATGTGCCTTTTTTCTTTATTCTGAACTATTGCAAGGCTGCCGGGATGTGATTAAAGGAATTAAGTTGTAGGGTTTTTGTAGATTTCAGGACCTTTTTTTGTTTTTATTTTTAATTTTATGTCCTGTATCTTTTATTTTGGGGCGCTGTCTTTACTCATACTACATACACATACACTGCCGCAGTTTTTTTCACCTCTTTGTAATTTTTTCCACATGGTTATAGTTTTCTTGAGTTTCTTATTACAAAAAAAAAAAAAAAAAAAAAGTGTGGAATCCCGAATCTCTTCCCAAGCGGTTGGGAATCGGGATGAAGCTTTGTAACTTGTGTCAAGTATTATAAATTGACTTTTGTTTGCCATTTAGGTTGAAAATAGTTGGATGAAACTAGTGTGCATAGATAGGTCTGTGGTTGATATCCTGTCTATCAGTTGCTCCTAGCCATAGTAAAAAAGATGAAACTATAGTTTTGTTAAATGTTAAGTTCAATTAGACCTCTTTAATTCTCACACTCAAATAAAAGAAATACCCAAAGTGATTCCTGAAGCTAATGATGCTAAATCTGTTATAGTTATTGTTGGCTGAGTTAATACCCCATGAGCTATGACATCATTAATTTCTGAGCCTGGAGAAATTTGTAGAGCTAATATCAGTCAACCAACTGTTGTTTTAAGTTTCTTATGACTTCTTCTTCTTCTGCACCTAGTATATAACATTTAGGGTGATAAGAGAAAGTTTTTATCAGAAGATACTTTATTTGCTCATGATATTGTTGGAAGGTGCACGTTCTGTATTGCATTAATCTAACTGCAAAAATAGATATGAGGTGTGTGATAAGTCCATTTCTGCACGGAGCCAAGCATGTTGTTCATTTTCTCTCCAGTTTTCCAGATTAGTGGTTGAACCGTAGTGTGGTACCAACTGATTTTGTATGCACAATCATTTTAAACTACGAGGTTCAATTATTTCTGATTAATAGACTTCCTAACTGTTGTCATGTGCAGGAAACCCATTTTCTAAAATAAACCTATCTTTGTTCTTTGGCGTTGTATTTCATGTTCTTATATTAGGGCATGTAGTTTTATGATGTGTTTTTTAAGTTTTTTTGTATTAATTATTTATAAACTTTTATCCAATTAAATAAATATTTTTTAAATTTATTTATTTGTACCAGAGTTTTCCTTCACTTCAGACCCCAGGAAAATGGTGAAAAAGAAGAAAAATAGCAACACCGACAGTGACGAAGACGATGAAATCTTCTACTACCGCTACGCCTCCACGGCCGCCCCCAACGTCGCCTCGTCATCATCTTCAGAACCCACATCCAATGGACCCCACAAGAAATCCAAGGGCTCAAAAAGCTTAGCCCCTTCCAAATCAACGGTCTACGTTTCGAACCTTGACTACTCCCTCACGAACTCCGACCTCCATACGCTCTTCTCAACCTTCGGAAAGATCGCTCGCGTCACCGTCCTCAAAGACCCCGCCACGCGCAAGTCACGTGGCGTCGCCTTCATTCAGTTCGTCAACATTCCCGATGCGCAGACCGCAGCGCGTGCGATGCACAGGAAGATCCTCAACGGTCGTACGGTCACGGCGAGCATCGCAACGGACAACGGGCGCGCGGCATCGTTCATAAAGAAGAGGGTTTATAAAGACAAGTCGAGGTGCTATGAGTGTGGGGTGGAGGGGCATTTGAGTTACGAGTGCCCGAAGAATCAGTTGGGGCCCAGAGAGCGGCCAGAGCCGAAGAAAGTGCGGCGGAAATTCGACGTGGAGGATGAGAACGAGAACGAGAACGAGAGTGCAATAGGTTTTGATGATGGGAATTGGGCTTCGGTTGTGGACGATGGAGCTCAAGAAAGGTTGATTATGGGAGAGGAAGAGACTGAAGAGAAGAAGAAAAAAATAAAGAGAGTGAGTTATTTTAGTGATGAGAGTGGTGAAGATGATTGATTTGAGGTAAGTTTTTGTATTTTTTTTTTTTTTTTTTTTTCAATAGTAATTTTTTTTATAATTAATTTGCTTTAATCATGAAAAATAGAAGTATGGAGACTTTTAAGTTGTTTAGCCAAATGGGTTAATGTATTGGAAGATGTTTATGGTCATTGTAGCTGAATCTGAAAAGAGTGGGAAATATTTTTGCTTTTTTGAACAGTTTTTTTAAGGAATCTGAAGAAGAAAATAATTGAATTGAGTTTTGATTTGCTTAGAGGAGATGTAGTTTATTGGTAGATTAGATGTTTCTTACTACTTTGTATAATTTGCATGATTATTCAAATTGCTTCTTCAACACATTGATGCTACATTTGACTTGATTGAAATTAGAGGATTATGATATTTCTGGAACCCTTTTATCTCCACCTTATTACTGTAAATTTATGCCTTGGACGAAAGTCATGAAACTCCTTGTAATTAGCAATCCCCTGTATTATGCTTCACTGATTTGGAATTGCTGAGCATGCCTTCTGTTCCATCTCTCGTTTGTTTTCATCGTGCTTAGCAATTTGTATTGGATGATTAGTAATCACTACTCTGTATCTTCTTTTTCTTTTGATCGTCGTACGTAGCACTGGTGTTTTTCTATGTTGATTGTGATTTACCTTTGCTATTTGTTTATTCACTGACCAATATTCTGTTTTCACATACAGAAATCAATAACAGATTATCTACACATATTGCCGAGAATTTAAGATGAAGGATTTGGAATCCGAATTGTGTTGAGAACTGTGGTAGGTTTTGTTCTTGCTGTGCTAATGTTATGAACATATAAGTTCTTAGTTCTGTCGTGTAGACATCACCTCAATATGAATAGATCCTTGTACATTGTTTTAGGGAAGAGAATATATTTACAGCGAAAAGAAAATTTACTTTTGTAGTTTTTGCTTGTCAATGTGACTCGTTTTTTAATTTAAATTGATGATGATGCTCTTATAGCAATCCTTATAGGCAGATAGTACTTGGAAGCTAGAAGGTGAAAAAAGCAAAGCCTGATGGCAGAGAAGGCTATTAAAGATTTGTGTAAACGGTGTGTGTTTTAATTGTGAGATGTGAATTGCTCACCACTGACACGTATAGTTTAAATAGTCTCAGTATGTTTAGTTTGTCTGCAGTTTGTGAATTGCTTCATCCAAATAATTGCGATATCTTGAAAAGTTTTGATTAGAAAATCTTCTTCTTTCCCATCTTTAGTAGAAAATACCAAGGTTTTGAAACCTGGTCTGGCTCGGCTAGTTGAACCAGTTCAATCGGGACTCGGGGCCTTCATTGAGCCGAGTTATCAATTTTACTATTTATCTCAAACCGTAGAAATTAGGACGATGATCAACGAATAATTGGTGATTGGAATGTTAGAGCTTTTGAAGAGAAAATGTCAGTGAGTTGAAAGGTGGCAATGGAGTTGATTTCCGATGAGTGAAATGATCGAAAATCACAAAAATAAATCGATGGCAACAACGATTGGCGAGGCGAACGAGGGTGGGGTTAGATGGGTTTTGGTTAGAGGACTGAAGTGGTGTTGGGGTGTGTTTTCGACATCGGAAACAGGCCTTTTCTGGTTTGGGTCATCAACGCCGGCGGTGTAATTTGGGGTGCTTTTGTAGGATTTCAAACCTTTTTACATGCTAACATCACGGGTCAAACTGGTCAACCTGGGATTCGTTCACTTTGTCGGGTTTCATCTCGGGCCGGGTTTTTAAACCTTAAAAAATACAGTTACCATACACATTCAAGGAGTTACTGATGTAAAAAACTTTTAGCTTACTGTCATGCTATTTTTCTCTATACTGAAAAACACTAAAACATTGTTCTTTAGCATCAAAACCTTGAACTGCAGAGTCTAATGGATGGGAACCGAATTCTAATCTTCAAGTATCTTATCTTCGTCTGCGTCCGTCGAGTTGAATTCCTCTCCTGTCTGCATGATAATTTACTGTGTGTGAAGAGATAGTTTTGATTAGAAAGATAATACAATGTAAAGGTGGAAATAAAACATGAGATTACCAGCATTTCATGGTCTCCCATAATCTCTTCTATAAGCTCCTGCAGTGTTTTATCGGCACTGTTGGGAACAAGAGCTGCAAATACAGGTGGTTCTAGTCCTGCATATAATTAAATCAAACATTTCAAGTTGGTGGCCAATGGCTATATTAAATTAATCTAGAGTTCAGAGGTGAGTTTCAGTTTAATTTTTCATTTGAATACCCGTTTCTGGAAATACTTCGATAAACATCAACATTTCCTCCCCGCTGAGACCAGATAAGAAGCATATCCGAGGTAGAGACTCTGCAATCTGCAGAACAAACACACTTATTTCATCGTGAGAAAAGATGGCTACAAAGATCACATTTAATTCAGATGGTATGAAAAACCCAATTAAATAGCCAGTTTGCTACTCTTTGCTTTTCCGTGTCATCATAAAACTGATCAAAGGAATGCTTTCTATCAATTATTGATTGAAGCTCGGACTTGAAAAGAAGAAAAAGAAAAAGATATATGGTATATGATAAACTAATTAATGAAAAAGTTCCCCAGAATGATTGAAATTTCAACCTTTACTGCTTCCAGATCTGGTTGCTTTGCATTCATTGCTTCCCAAAGTGAAAGAGGAATCATGTCTTCGGTGCAAAATAAAACCTACAACAGCATATCAAGTCTTTTGGTTTTTATAGGTAAAAAAAAAAAAAGTTAATGAAAAAAGCACATAAAACTACTATTTCACAACTTACTGCAACTGAAAAACAAGCATTTGAGTACACATATGACAATGAATTTCTTTGGCAGTATAATACAAGCCAAATCACACATTGGCATGAATTTATTCAACTATTTTGAGTTCGGTTTGATATGTAAAATGCAAAGATTGTAGAGCAGGAACATAGAAATGTTGCAGAAGCAGGTTCAGCTTTGCAACTTTTACAGACAATGCAACTCGGAAAATTTTATCTTCCTTTTTTTTTTATAACTCTTCAAAGAAAATGAGCACAGTAATACCATGCAAGATCAAATACCTCCATGAATTCACCACCCAACTCTGTCAAAAGTTCTCGTATCTGCAGTAAGAAAACACCTAAGAGTTGTTAGTGAGTTCGAATCAATTTTCCTGTACAATATGTTCTCAGAGGTGAAGGTTTCATTCTGATCAATGTATGAACTTTGAACCATTGCATTACTTTCCCAACAAACAGATTAAAATTCCAAGACAAATATCGTTTCTCCGATAAGGGTCATATAGAGCTTGCTTAATATGATTTTGTGCCTGGCGAATGCAACGTTTGCTTAATATGATTTTGTGCCTGGCGAATGCAACGTTGCAATGAAATATCATTCATGCTGGCGCCATAAGCTTTATTATATATGGTATGCTACTTAGTTGAAACAAGTTTACAAATGGCAACATGCTGTGTCCATAAAATTAGCAAATATGTTGCAATGCAACCCAAAGAGAAGTCAGTCACCTTCACTTTCTCCTCCACTTCAAAGCCTAACAGTAACAAAGCCTGCAAAACAAAGAACTTGAAAATTTAAGTTCATTTGGGTGAAACATGTGATCATTTTTATTGCAGCAAAATGCAAATGACTACTCTCTTTTTGATCTGTGGCCGCTAATGTTAAAAAATTTAACAAATATTCACATGAGAACTGGAATGAAACTAACCAGAACTTACAGGTGGCCCGTATACGGGATCGTCAGCATTTAAAGGAACGAACTTTGAATCTTCCATTAACTCACTTGGAACTCCTGCAGCAAGAACAGAAATTTGATTAATGGCCAAAGGTTATTGAAGTTCAAATTATGTATACCTCAAATAAAAATATAAGCAATAGCACAAAGCTAAGCTACAAATTCAAAGCCATTAGTTAGATAAAAAAAGTTGAAAACCCCTTTGAATACGACAACTAAATTATCAAATTAATGCAATGAAAAAACACCTGAAACAATCAAAATTTTCATTGTCCTTCCCTGAATGTTGAGCTACAGCAGAAATTGAACACTAAATAGGGCTCAAAAATCAAATTATCCTCAATGAACTGGTAATTAACTCAAAGTAAATTCGAATCTCAATAATAGTAAGAGCTCTAGCACTGAACAAAACTCAAGCAAAAAGTTCCAAAATCCCACGTTAAAAAAGACATATGAAAGTGTAAATAAGGTTAAAAAGAAGAACGAAGAATCAGACATGGATAAGTTCACCTTCAGCAGAAGCTCTTGGTGGGTGCTTGAGCTTGATTTGACAATTACGGTTCAATGCTGAGAAAGAAGAATGAAAAGGAGAAAGTTTCGAAATTTGTGAAAGTGTAAATGGGTTTAATTTAAAAGAAGGAACGAAAAGTGAAGAAGAGTGGAGCAGATGAATTGGAGAGAAGCAAATACGTGAAGCCATGAGATGTTTATGTTACTTCAGTTGAACTGGATTTTTTTCTCAGGTTTGTTGTTGACGAAGTTAGATGAAAGAGGAGTTGGATAGCAAAAGCCAGTTAAGCCAATAATATCTTGCCATAACATAACATTTGTAAAAGATGAGATCAGACGCAGACATACTGCCCGCTGTTTTATATATTTTTAAGAAGGGAGAGTGTTGGATAAAATTTTACTGAGGATTTTTTTTTTTTTTTTTTTTAACAAAAGATGTCCGACCGGTGACCCGCGCCCTCTCCAGTCCGGTTTACTATTTTTAACTGTTTACCAACTCTCTAATTTAACCATTAGCGAACGAGTGGTTATCAAGTGTAAGAATTAGAAGAATTTTATAGAATAAAGGCTGATGGTTAATAGAATGTTGTCGGATTGAATTTTGGACATCGGAATCCGTCAAAATTTGATTAGAAAAATCAACTCAATACGAGTCATGGTTAGCGAACGAGGGGTTATCAAATGTCGGGGTTAAAGGGATTTAGTAGAGTAGAGGTCGATGGTTCAGATGGTGGTGTCAGATTGAATTTTAGTCATCGAAATCAACCGGAATGTGGTCAGAAAAATCAAAACCTTAATTGTGGCAGCGGGCATCTGTAAGATTTCAAATCTGTAGAGACTGATCCATATTTTTAAGGGGTGTTTTTGCAAGATTTCAAACCGGTTAGATTGGTTAATTTGGGACCCGGCTCCTTGGCCAGGTGGCGCCCCGGATCAGGTTTCAGAACATTTATAACAAGCTCTTATATTTGTATTTATATACCATAGTAAAACCTTCAAATAGACTCCTTTTTATTTCAATACGTCAATTATACTTTTAGTGCTTTCCACTGCTTAAGAGTGATTTATCGCGCTTCAATAAAGTCACAAGGAGAAAATCTAGCAAAATCAATGTCAGAGCAATTTTTTATCTGTTTTAGTAAATAGTCAATTCCTTTTCATATTTCAAATACTTGTTTATGAATGACAATGTTCAGACTTCAGTGTTCAAAGTATTGTAACAGTCCAATTAGGAAATATTACTGCAAAAGATCATAAAACATATATATATTTTTATATAAATAAAATGTACAAATATGGAGATTCATAGAAACAGATAGTATCCTTGATTCATTCAGTGATATTCTTCATAACAACATCAACATAAATATCACGTTTTCAGAATTCTATCAGACCCCAAGGCCAATATTTACAACATTCTTAGAAACCAGAAAAAAACATTTAAAAAAACCAAAAAAGGTAGATTCAAGTTGTGACCTAATTGTTTTAGAAAGTAAGATGATAAGGATAAGAAAAAGGATTGGAGGCAATCACATCTCAGCCACCAATTGTTCCGAACGACCTGGAGCTACAACCATTGTGCCCTGCATCCATCTCCTTAGCATCTCTAATGAAGCCTTGGGTTGATCCATGGGAACCATGTGACCGGCATCATGGACCTGTTGGTAGATATATCATGCCACCACATTAGCACCAATTATTAACTATTGGTGTGTGCGCGCGCACAAAAATATGTACAAGAGATAGAGAAAGACTAACCTTGAGGAAGCTGAGAGGCCCATAAGTCCTCAGCACTCCAGCTTCTGAATCATCAACTGTAAAAGAAACTTCAGGAGATCCTACGAAGTCCTTTTTACCAGACCATTCCATGGCATGAACCCATCTCGAATTACCTACTCACCCAGGTAAAAATCAGGAAGAGCAAAATGATAAATGTAATTTCTTCTAAAACACAAGATCACCTTATTCACTTTCATGTTAAGCTTAGAAGCTTACCAAGCCAATTGCAAATGAGATCATATTCTCCAGCATATACAAGCAATTTGACTCCATCCTCAAGAAGTTCTGGAATTCCAACTTCAAGATTCCTCATCCAGTCCACGAGCATAGCCTGATAAACTGTTGGGCTACATGACACAAAGTCCAAGTCCCCAACACCAATGGCATCCCTGACAGATTTCTGGTTTAGGAATTTCTCCATGTTTGAGAAGTCGTAGCAAAGGCTCCCCTCGCACTTCTTTCTAATGTCATAGTACTGCAGAGTGAACATATAAATGCTTGTAAAAAAAAATATCCTCTGTTGTTTTGTTTAAAACAATGGTAGTCTCATAAGCATATATATTATTCTATAAAATACTCCAACTAAAACGTGGAGAAAAGAAGGTAGAAATGTCAAGAATAACAATCATATCTGTAGGTTGTTGATTACCTAGGACCTCTCTGTAACAAAACTAGATTCTTTCCTCTATCACAATTTATGCCACTTCTATAGAACTGTTTAGACTTTCAAAAAACTTAAAATGATTTTGGCAGCAAAACAATTCTATAGAAACAAAACCAAACCGCTGTAATCATGACCTATCTTTCAACTAATGCATATGATGAGGGGGAAAAAATGCTTTTATTGTCAAGAATGATTGATAAAGAAATAAATCTCATACATTTGTATCACCAGCAAGTGCCATAATGCTACTGAATATGGTATTGCAAACAAAATATGAAGCCAGGCATGAAAGAGTACCGTCAGTGCCTGAAACAAGAAAAGAAAACAGGATTAATTACAGAGGCAATACTATCCATCAACAAAATATAACATATACACATGAACTAGTAAAACTAAATTTAAAAAGAAAAATAAAAATTTAATCAGCAAAAATGCAAGCCGTAAACAGTTATGAATAGCATGAGAATCAAAAGAAATGACAAGACAACAATGAAGCAATCTCAGAAAGTAAAATTACCACAAAGCTTTATCGCCATTTCACAAACTGGGATAACCTTGGTGATGCGATCATATTCAGATTTTTTAATGATTCCCATTTCCAATGCATAATCTGGGTATGCTTTATATTGCATACCAGGATCAGTTAGCCCGTTACCAATGGCAAATCCCTGTTCAACCAATTTGTGTTGAGTTATATAACAAAATAAATTGACTACTTACTTACAACTCATAGGTGGGTACTAATTGCATACCTTCAGATTTATATGAATTCCTTCCTTAGCTTTGTTTCCTCGGTGGACTCGAGAAGCAAAAGCAGGAATGTAGTGCCCAGCATATGATTCTCCAGTTATATAAAAGTCATTCTTTGCAAGCTCAGGATGCTCCTCAAAGAAAGCCTAATATTATGGAAGAGCCAAATAAGTTATAATAATGTTACTCACATATAAATCTTAAGCATATAATACATTTCTGTATCCCATTATCCATCCCCAAAATTTGAAATGACATGAACTCCTTCGAATTATGAGAAACTTTAGACTAAATTTCATTCAGACAAAAGTGAGGGAAAGAACGAAGAATCCCACCTGTAAGAAGTCATAGAGGTCGTTACTAACTCCATCTTCATTGTGACGAATGTCACGTTTATCTGAACTGTAGCTGAACCCAGTTCCAATAGGTTGGTCAACATACAGAAGATTTGATGCCTGTAAAATCACCACAGAATACATTACTTCTATAGTAAAGAAGCCAGAATTTTTGTAGCAGAAATCTGACACAAAAAACCCAAAGAAAAAGTATTGAAAGTACCTGATCCCAACCATGCTCATTCCACACAAGAGACATGTTTTTTGCAATAGAGAAGGGACCGTTTTCATAAAATATAGCCAACTCGCTACTACACCCTGGCCCTCCAGTCAACCAGATGACAATGGGATCCTTCTTGCTGTTGCGTGATTCAAAGAAGAAGTAAAACATCCTACAAAACAACAGCAATAGTTCAGTATAAATCAAACAAAAAACAAGAAAAATAATAAAATCGTAGATTTTGATTCTCAAATTAACTCAGTAACCCAAAAATCACAGACTAACCCTTAAAACTCAATAACACTCCGATCTTCATATTTCAAATATAATCAACACAACTCTAGGATTCAGATTATGCCCAAAAAGAACCTTCTAAAAATCTCTTAAATTTGAAAAATAATTGATAATAATTCATAAAACTAACTAGTGCATTCTATACACTGAAATAAACCCAACAATTGCCTCAAAATATAGACCACTAAAACCATACAAACCCATACAAATAACTCATTTCTCGATCGAAACTAAAAAATAATAAATTTTGAATCTAAAATAGCTAAATTTTAACTCAGTTTGACATTTTTCAACTAACAAGTATAAAACACCAAACCTCAGAAATCGCTGAATTTTTAAACCTCTAGTATAAACAATCTTCACTCAGGGGTTTTAATTACGCCCTAATAACCTTCTAAAAATCCTCATATTTTAAAATTAAAAAAAAAAAACACAGAAAACACAAAACCAAACCAAACCAAACAAAAATAAAACTAAAAATTCGAAAATTACTTAGCGTCATGTGAATGGGAAATCTCGTAATATCCAGCATGGTGGCCCAAGTCGTCAACAGAGACTCCACTAGCGAGGTTCGGAAACTTGAACCGCTTCTCAACGATCTTCTTCCCTGGTCCAGCAAACAACGCCGTCGAGTCACGACGGCCGTCGATTATATTAACATCCTCCTTGGGGAACAAGTTGAGCTCCCTGATCATCTTCTCAGCATTTACGGAGGGGAAACTGGAGCGGCTCAGGCGATGGTCATTCGACAGAAAGGCCGAAGACGAGATGAAGAGAAAAGAGACAAGTAGCAAGACGAGAAGTTGTTGTTTGTTCTCCATTTTGGCGAGAATCTGCGATGAGAATGTCTGAGAGCGGGGGTCATATAAAGAGAGTTGAAGAGAGGAGATAAAGAAGAAAGGGGACACGTGGCAATAACTAACAGTCGTCACTCGTAGCAAAATTAAGGGAATGTTAGTTTTGACGGGCGAGCTTATTTTTATAATGGAAGACTTTGTTGTAGATGATTGTGGCTATGAAGCTGGAGGATGTTCTTGGAAATGTAATTTTAGAAAATAGTTTCAGTCTAATATTCTTTTATATAAATGGCTGTTTAGAATAATATTTTTCCAAATATTATTTTCTAAATCTATGATTAATAATTTGTTGCATAAATGGTCGATTATTCTTTAGTTTTATGTTTTCAAACGATTATGTCGAATACATTTTCATTATTCACATTATTAAAATATTATATTTAATATAATTTTATTTTCTATTTTTTAATCTTTTTCAGAAAAATAAAAAATACACAAAATTCATAAAAATAATACACCTATTATTTTCTAAATCTACTATAATAATAATTATTTAAATTGTGCAAAGAATAATAATTTGTAGTTATTAATTTATTATGATATTGTTGAAAATAAAAGGTAGCTGTTGCTTTCACGTGGACGACGACGACAGGACGAGGGAATAAAGGTAGATAGAAGATATTTTCTTTTGGGTGGAAGGAGTTAAAGACTAACGCTTACGTGTAAAGGATCCTACAGTTAAAGAAGAGTACACGCCACACGATGTGAGATTATTGAAACCGACCAAATCAAGGGCCATTAATTATCGTTTTTAGAAAATTAAAATTTGTTCTGCAAATTTCAGAAACTGCCTTAAGGCTTACGGTATGAGTTATACTTTCCCGCAACTGAAGAAATAGTGAAATACCCTCAAAATTGCAAGAATAATTATGGAAACTGGCCCAATAATATTGTTTAAGGGTCAAAAATAAGATTAATTTGTGTCATTTTTTGTATCTGGTAAGGCTCATTTTCAGTGCAAAAGACAAATGAGAATATGCGTGGGGTGGAAGAGATAGAAAAGAGGAAAAGGGCAGTTGTGCTCTACAAAAGTAGAAAGAACCTTCATTGATGATAAAGAATGTATCTTCTGGGTTTGGACTTCCTTTTAATTCTAATTCCTATCCACTTAACTCATATTTTTCTCTTTAACAAGAAAAATTTAAACTCGCATTTTATAGAATATCGACAAGTCACATATATCATGTTTAAATCCTGTTAACTAAATAGATACGTTTTGAGGTGAACCCAAAAACAGATCCGTATGGGTCTAAACCCCAAGTGAACAGTATCTATTTGGTGAGTATTTACAGACTCGATAATTATTATGATACCTAAATAAAATGATCAACCTGTTCGTGTTGCTCCTTTTGCTTGAAACTTACTCTATACAAGCTAACTCTTTAACCTTCCACTGACTTGCAAAATCATTCTTGCAATGTTCAAATTCAACTTCTAATTCCCCTAAAGTGAATTAAACACGAGATTTATAATTTTATATATACATTGTGTAAAGTTGTCAAGAGCTTCATCTAATGTGGCAGAAGGATGAAATAAGAATGAAAACTATGGGAGGAGATATGCTCATAAGTAAAAGCAAGACATCTCAACATTATGCACATTCATGTATAAGGCGGAAACTGAAATCGTTATCATCCATATAGAGATTGATACAATACAAATGCACATACGTAAATCAAGTATGCTGGGTAAGCCTTATAATCTCTAAAGAACGATAGGCTCGAACCCACGTCAATACAAACTCAGTTTTCCTTAGTACTGAGGAATCAAGTAGTTAAGAAAAACATATGAAACTATGTTCTCACTTTATCAAGCCTTGCCCTTAATTCTTCTAGTTCTTCATCATCTGCACCCTCTGCAATTGCTTCTTCCTGCAATATAACAGTAGAACTTAGATTTAGGCTTCCTGATCATACCACATAAAGGAAACTAGAAAGTGGATGAAGTTATGCATACTTCACGCGAGGAGCTTGCTGTTTGGGCGGACACCCTCACTCTCTCCTTCCTCACAGCTTCTGGAAGCTGTGCAGCTGTCTCACCAGCTATTTCCGTTAGGACCTTATCAACTTCTTCTTCAATTTCCTCTTCTATGTCATCCGAATCCAATGCTGTGTCAAGAGAATCGCTCACCATTTCTTCAATAACACCAGCCTGCAATCCACATTTATAAGAGGCTAATTAGGCATTCTTCTTCAACTGATATTCAAGAGAAGAACTACGAGGAAAATAACAAATATGTGAAGAAATCAACCATCTGTGACATTAGCAGCAATTGGAAAAAGAACCATAGGTTCTCTCATTGCCACAAAGATCAAGTGCTCTATTTAAATTGACACTCTATGAAAAGATATGCTTACCTTTTATTTTATTAGTTGTTTCACACTTTGACAAGAATATAAGCTAGGTAGTTTGCCCAATAAATGTCAATTTATTTAAGACAAGAATCAAATTTTTAAGATGTAAGTTTATTTACGGAAAGGACACTCAAGTTTTTCATTGAAAACTCAGGTTGAATATACCCAAAGTAATTTCTGTCACAAAGTTTACTTTGGTAATATTTCTCAGCCTCAATAACTAATATACTAACCCCAAAAAGACAGAACTAGGAATAGATCAGTAACATCGAGGAATGTGAAATTTAAGAATTCTTAAAAGAAAAAAAAATACTGAGAAGTTTGAAGCTTATTACCCAAGAAATAAAGAGCTCTACGTTGATAACTTGCCAGAAAATCTGAAAATAAAATTACCTTAATCATTTCTTTGCTAAATTCCTGCATCGTGGCAGCCACCTCTGGAGCTTTCATAAGGTTATTGACGAGTTTCATGACCTCGGCACTCTTGTCTAAATGACCCACAGTACGTGCAATTGCTGTTAACCCAGCCCAACACAAGATGAAACATTATTGAGAAGTCAAGGGGACGGGAGGGGAAGAGAGCCAAAGTGAAAGAGAACACAAAGAACAATATTATGATTTCTCAATTAAAAACTAGCTCTAACTGTTCATGCCATCATATCAAACAGGAAGAGCTCATCTCTTCAAGAAGATAACAATACAGGAATCTAACTGTCGCAAAAACATTATAGCTTCTCAGAAATCATCAAACTAGATTAATATTCTAAAACACAATAGTTTATTCCACATATATGGCATGATATTACTCTTAGGACAAAAGACTTATGTGCAAAGTAGTAAACAAGAAAATATTAAGATTTGAAGAATCATACCAACGCTTTCTCCAAGATGCATTGATATTGAATTCAGTTGAGCCTTATTCTCATAAAGACGGTTCACAGCTTTTCTTGACATTAAAATTTCCTTTGCAAGGGCCTGAGAAAGGGCAGAAGGTATGAAATGTCGAAACACAAAAGAGAGGAAATAACAATAAGGGTGCACATGAAAAGATATACACTAAGAAGAACACATCAGAGCTTCTTAATTGGCTAAAAAAAGAAACAAAAGATGCCGCGAATGCTTTCAAATTGACGCTGGCGACATTACCTTCTCTCCCAATTACACCAACAAATTAAAGTGTTTCTTTATTAAATTTTCTACAATACCAAAATAAATAATAGAACATTAAAAAATAAAAAATAAATAAAAATTTAAAATTTAAAATTTCTAATATGTTAAACTGATAATCTATGAACCTAAGTGTATATGTGTAAGGTTTAGTATAAAAAACTACAACTATCTGCATTTTCTGTGAATTAAAGCATACATCAAATATAAAAGGTTTCAATCGAATTGAAAACATTTTCATAAAAAAAAAAAATAGATACAAGAAAGCACAAAATTCAGGTAATAATACCTTAGCAGAGCCCATGTCATTTCTCTTTGCAGCTTCTTTAATTGTTTTTTGTACACTTTTTTCCTCTCTCTGAATATCTAAACAACAACAACAACAACAACAAAATATATAAATTGTTACCTATCACAAAAATTCAAAAAGTAGATTAAAAGAATATTAAAGAAAACAAAACTTGCCTCTGATCTGTCGCTCAATGTTGCGGCATTCTTGGCGAAGCTTTCTCTGCCAATCTCTCACTTGCTGTTGTGGATTTGGTTTCGGTTTTAAAATACTCTTCACTTTATCCATAATCTATAACACTGATGATTAGTATCTGTATCACAACAATAGACTTGGAGGAAGAGAATGATTTGCGTAGGATCAAAGCTTCTTTATTTTCTCGCTTTCCGCGTTTGTTTTCCCGGAATTATGAGAGAAAATTCCTATGGCTATGCTGGTAATAAACGCTGTCGTTTTTGCTGCGGTAAACCGCGTTCAATGTTGTTGGTCGTCATTGTGACTTCGAATTGACTCATGGATTAATATATTTTTAAAATATATTATTTTTTATTTTTTGTAACTAAGAGATTAATCTGTAAGTAATTCAAACAAATGTGTAAAATGTAAATAATAAATTAATAAGGTAAATAACGTGACGATTATTAATTAAATTTTAAGATATTATTTAGAAAGTGTAATAATATTTTTATTACCTCGACTTGAAAAACTTTATATTGAAAAAAATAAAAATATAATGCAATAATGTAAAATATATTTTTAAACTAAATAAATTTACATAATTATGTTGATAATGTAAGTCCAATTAAATCTATAAATGACTTAGGTTTAAGTTAGAAATTAACACATCTAACTTATCCCAGTGTGATTTAACATTAATTGAGCAATACAAATAAATGTTAATTATTTAAATGATTTTTCACTCTATTGATCTTCACAGCTTATGCAGTATATAATTAAGTGATAAATCATGACATTGTTGGTACCTATATACTTAAATAATTTATTGAGATATTAGAGAAAACTGAAGGGAATATGAATATAATTTATATATTTTTGGGTTTTTTTTTTTTTTTTTAAATCTTTAATACAGTATTCTGATACCCAACCCAGGGTGTCACCCGGCCAAGAGTCAGGCCCAGGTTGACCAGTTTGACCGATGATCTAATAGTGGTCCAACAAGTTTGAAATCTAGCAAACACACCCCTGATAAATACATATCAGTCCCTACATGTTTAAAATCCAACAAACACTCCCTTGTTATCTGATCGCACAGTTAGGATTTCATTTTTCTAGGCCAAATTTCAGCTGATTTGGGAGGCCAAAATTCAATCCGACACCACCACCCAAACCACCAGTCTCCACTCTACAAAACTCTTCTAACCCTGACACTTGGTAAACCTCTATTCACCAATGGTGACTTGCGTATACTGTCACGATTGGATTGATTTTTCCAGCCAAATTGGTTTCGATTCGATAATTTTTTTAATTGATTTGGTCTTTCATTGTTTGGCGCCCGTTTGGGTTTGTTTTATAGGTTGTTTCCCTTGCCGGCGACAACCATTTGCTTTTCCTTTGTCAACACACACCAAGTGCTCGACATTTTGCCCCACCCAGATTCTGACCTTTATTGACACTAGGGGCTGGGCGTCTGTCATGTGAGGGTGTGGGTGAGTGGGATAGGGTAGGGGGTGCCAGAAGTGGTGGGCGGTCAAGTTAGAGATTTTGAAATAGTGGACAGGGGTAACCTGGCTCGGAAAAGACCTAGGTCCTAGTCCGATCGATTAGACAAGTCGAGCTGGGCTAGGCGTTGTTTAACACTACTTTAATACAACAACAGGAAGTTAAAAAAATAATAATAATAATAATGACTGAAGTAAAATAAAGTGATGAGCCATTTCAACAAATTGTTTTCATTTAAATAACACCATTTTAACATTTTATAAAATAGAAAAAAATTATAATTAAAGTTTAGGGTTTAAAATGTTCTTTAAAAAATATAATGGTCTTGTAAATTATTTCCATGGGTATTATAGTTGAGGTCAAACTTGAAACATCAAAACCACAAATTAGTTGAGCTAACTCATTACAAATATAAAGGCTGAAAGCCAGAAATTATAATCATTTATCAATACACATAGAAATAAATAATTAGAATCGAACTTGATACAACGATTTCATATGAAAGTTACTGCCAAAATTCGACTTTAATAAACTTCAACAAGAAAATGAAAGAAAACAAAAAAATCCTGACTAATCAGTGATAATCACTAGCATATAATGGGTTACAATAATTTAGAATATCAAGGGAAAAATGGAAGAATCAGCAAAGAAAAATGGTGTTGTGTACCGCGTCACAAAAAGTTCGGTATTTTCCGATCATTCTTCATCAGATTGTTGTTAACATTACCTAATCAAACAATCCTTGATCATGCCAAATATCAACCAAGAAGTCAACCATTTCCTGCAAATTCCACCATCAATGAGATTAACACAAGCAGTTAGCCAAAACTACAACCACAAATCAAGATAGGGAATTCTGCTTGGCTAAACAGCGCGTTTTATTAACTTTTTTTTTTTTTCTTTAGATCATCTCCATTAACAACTTTTAGAAATCTGCATAGGATTGGACTTTAAAATGTATTTCCTAGCTATAAGCGATAAAAAGCAATTGAGGTGAGTATGCTTCTGGAAAATAAGCTTACAGGTAAAGGGATCGGCTCAGGGAAAGGCTGATTATTACAGAGAAGCTCTTCATATGCCGTCGACCAGCTGCAAATAAAAAGTATATCAGTTATTTTTCCATGTGGCAGTTGATTTACTTGGATACTTAAACAACAGAAGAAGTCAAAATACAGTAATATAACCATAAGCCGAATGCAAAGGGGGAAGAGAAAAGAAGAAAAGAAAAGGTTTCGGCAGCGTCTTTTTCATGTTGAGTCAATTCCTCAAGGAGCTGCCACCAATCCTAACAATGATGCTGGATCAGTATTCATTTATATGATGTATGTGATAGTAAAAAAACTTGACATATCTTTTAAGTTCGAGACAATTAGACTTCATGCGAGTATCAATGGGAATCACACGGCACTTCTTTGAGGGGAAAACGTAAAAGCACTCTGAATTCTGTTCACATTTAGGCATGGATCTCATTCCCCTTCATATGTCAATGCTAGAAGAATTATGATAACAAGAAAGATTGGATTGTCACAAATATTACTTGGGTGCCACTGAAACCTGCAGCTACACATAACAACATCTTCCAAGCATGTAAATGGTATAAAAGAATATTCATAATTATACCTTATAATTGGATCCTTGGCCATTTTTTGTTGTTGTTGAGACTGATCCCCTACCCACTTTCTTCTACTCTCATGCCAAGCAATTTCAGCTGCTCAAAATATTCAACAAGGTTAAACTCAGAGAACAACAGTAGAAAACATAAACTACATATTTATAAGGAAAACAACGAGCAAAAAAATGTACTGGATCACTAAGCCTAAATGAACAGCTATACATATGCCATCACGTGGTTCCATATTTGATTATAGGTTTCCTTATTTTTTCCCTTTTATCATAAACCTATGACCAAAGAAGATTTATTTCCCATAGAATTGTCAGAATGATAATAAAATGCATATGCATATACATCTGAGATGAGTGCGACAATCACTTAGTTAACATGCAACTTAAAGCTCTTATCATTATATGATTATAGTCACTCCTATGGGAATAGACAATATATTTGGTCAGATTAGTTTGCGCTAGTAGTCCATGGCTAAAGGACCCTACAAGCATTTCGGGATATTCTTTTTAATGCAGTGTCATGTACATTCTACAGAAATAAGAACACCAATAAGTTCATTAGACTAAATGCAAAGAGTAGTTAAATTGGGACATGAGAGCACCATAAATCAAGCTTTTTTGTTTATTATGACACCAACCTAAATCTTGTCTCACTGAAGCCATCACAGAGTCAATCTGAATCGGAACAAATCACAGTAAGCACAACACTACTGGATTTAGTGTCAGTGGTGGGGCACCAGCAGTGCGTTCAGTAAAAACATAGCATCTCAATGAACAGCCTTTCAGCTAGAAGCAACATACTCCATATAGACTTTCAGAAGAGTCAATCCACCAATTTCATTGATCCTTATCCTTCTTTTTCAGTTTTCCTTTCTAAACTTTTCTCTCAAGCTTTGTGACAACAGTTATTATTACAGAATAGCATATAGGCCTAATAGACTACGATGCCACATGTAGTACTTGACAATTTTCAGTACTCTGAACCTCAAGTAATGGTTATTTTCTCATGGGATTACGGAAAGTAGGAAAAGATTTTTTAAAGCAATTACCAGTAAATACCATCTCAAGCGGGAGACTTACCATGATTTACAAATACAGAGGTGGTCACAACTTTTTCTGTAGGCTTATTAACTTCTTTAGAAGATGTGGAACAATCCATAGGTTGTTTCTCATTTAAATGGGAACTTCCAGCCTTCACCTCCATTTCCTCCATACTGAAAGACCATTCCCTTCTGCAAAAACACAATGAATGATAACAAGATCCCTCAAGAACCGGTTAAAACATATGGCCATTTTGAATGTACAAAGACTTCCACAAAAACCACTGCGGCATAAAATAGCTCTTCAGTGTGATAAATAAACAGATAGAAGGGGAAACAAACAATAAATAAATTATCAGTGCAGATTTAGCTCATAAATAAGAAATAATAGTTCTACTTTCTATGAAGAAAGGGACAAACTATTTCCATTTTCGGCTTTTTACATCAAGCATACTTTACTTGATTTCGCAAATCATTAACACCAATACCATACAAATTACATCTTCTTCTTTAAATCTAAACCCACGTAATCATAATGGCATAGCCTAGATTCGACATTTCTTCACCCCAAATCTAACCAATAAAAACATATTTTCATCACTCAATTTTCCAAAAATCCTCACATCTCCTCATTCAATACCTCAAACATCATTCAGAGAACAAATAGAAGAACCATTTTTCACCCTCCAAAGTCCAAAAAACATAATATTCATTTTCCTCCTTCTCCCACCATTTTCAGTAAAAAAATAATAATAATAATACATAAATAAATAAGACTCCACAACCGCTCCATCATGTTTTGCAATAAAAACAAACACATCCTCAACAAAAGAAAAAAAAACTAATCTCACATCATTATTAAAAAACACAATGAATAATAAAAAAAACAAACAAAGTAAGCAAACCCCATTTGAGATTCAAGAGATTTACACACAAACATATCAATAATGCAACCAAAAAATGAAATTTAAAAAAAAAAAAAAAAACAAAGTTTGAGCCACACCTTGCACAGGAGTATTTATTTATCTCTGGTAACATAATCCAATTTAAGCTGGAGCTAAAAATGATTTCTGCTGTGAGATTTTGATACCAAATTAGATTTTCACAACACAAAGCTTGCCTTTCTGTATGTTTCTTCTATTCTAGTTTTGTTGGCTTTCTGTTCTTGATTCTGTGTTCTGTGTTTCTGTTTATGGTTTTCCAGTTTTCTGTTTTTCTTTCTTGCTGACGTGGATTTGATTTGGATTTTGGGTTCGGATAAGCTATTTACATGTGTAATGACTGAGATACCCTTCTCGAATTTCTTTTTTATCATTTGGAGATGGGTGTTTTGGTCATTACGATTGTTAGTTAGGTGAAGACATTGATTGAACATGTTTGATTTGAGTTGGTGTGCCTACTATGGAAACATTATTACAAAGTTTTTTTTTTTTTTTTTTTAGCCAAAATATATAGTATATATGTTCATTGATTCTCAGGAGAACACCAATTTAAGAAATTTATTCTTTAAAATATAAATATTTTAAGATTCAGAAAATATATAGTAGTAGAAAATGATTTTTAAAATAAAAATATGAAAATACATTGTGTTATGCCTAAAGAATGCAGGGCTGATGTAAGGTACAGTCAGCGTGCAAAAAGTCAAAGCATGGGTGCACTTGCAGCCGAGTCACGTGGGAAAAGGAGCAGCATGCTTTTGTCAGAATATTGGGTGCGTGCCAGACCAGCCAGAAGTTGTGGTGCTCCCACGTATCCAATCCCTGCTCCAAATCTCGTAAATCACTCTAGAATATGGGCAATGTGACATAAAGAGGGATTTGCACGGATAATCCTACCAACTCACAGATTCAGTAATGATAACCTTAGTACATCCCACTATAAATTGAGAGCTCCTTTCCCATTTAGAGGATTGGTTATTCTCTCTCAAGAATATATAGCATTCTCTCTCTTGTACTATCATTTGTGAGTCATTTGTAATTCAATCCGCTAACGCGACTTGACCTCTATCATTAATACAAACATCAGTGGACATAGGATTTGCCTCCTTAGCATCCGAACCACTTTAAAAGTTGTCCCTATTGCATTTATTCTCATTCTTCTTGCATTCACGTGTGTCTTCTAGGCTAGCTCAGCATTGCACATGTGCGTTTAGTTGGTGTAAAAGTCACGCATCAACAGTTTGACGCTAGAAGGAGGGCCCTGATTTAGTGTTCATCCTTCATCAGGAGAATCTCTAACTTACCGGTCTTACAACAGCAAATGGCATGCCAACCTGAACTCGAGCGAACCAACCAAGGTGCTGAGGGGATCCCCCAAGTCCAGGGGGACACCTCTTCCAAAATACCTTCAGTTTCGCAAAATGCCGCGGGGGATATCCTATCAAGTTCACAACTTGACCCTGCCATTAGAAGCTACCTGGAGAGGTTCGACTATACTCTTTAGACGGTTAACCAAAGGTTGGACCGTTTGAACCAAGGTGTGCCAACCAAATCAGCTGGGGCGGTACAACTGCCAAAAACACCTGTAGGTCACACGAAAGCGCTGCAAAGGGAGATAGCCCGTGCCGCGAGCACTGTAGCGCGTCGACGAAAGGGTAAGCAAGTGGCAAAAAAGGGGCCTACGGGCTCCAAAGGGCCAGCGAACTCCGACTGCATCTCGAGTAGGATACCAATGGCGTTAAGACTTGGTGAAAGGACGCACCCAAGCTGTCCCATGCCATGTCGCAGGTACACCCCCGTAAAAGTGCTGGGCGGGGCGATTCTTATCACCACCAAGAAAACGATCCTGATCGTCATCGGGTGGGCGATTCCCACACTTCGTGAGACAGTTCGTACCATCGCGAAGGTCGTGAAAATACCCCGCATCATTCATCGCCATCACACATCTCTAGCAAGCGTGTGTCGAGAGCAGACGGGGCTGCCGGCCTAGGCGAAGAGGAATCTGACCTCTGGACTTTCCTCAACCGTAATCGCGAGAGTCGAACTCGCATGGGTGAAAGTAATCCCCAAGTGGCTCCATTGCCTCAGATTGAAGAACTGCAGCGAGCTCTAGACCGATTAAGAGCCTAGCAAAATGGGCAAGGGCAGGTCACGTCTGCATCCCCTTTCTCTCCCAAAGTGCTAGTCGCTCCACTCCCACCGGGATTCAGGATGCCCGACATGCTTGCGTTTGATGGAAATTCTAATCCGCAAGAGCATTTATATGAATTCAACGACCTGATGGAGCTTCACCAGGTCTCGAATTTAGCAAAATGTCGTTGCTTGGCAGTGACGTTAACCTCCCATGCCAAAAGGTGGTTCAGGTCGCTCCCAGCGGGATCGATCAATTCGTGGCCTTAGATGAGCGCAACATTCCTGAGGCACTTCCAAGCGAACCGAAAGTTCTCAATGCCTTTGAGCTACCTCAGTGATATAAGGCAAGAAAGGGATGAATCCCTCCAGTCTTACATTGACCGATTTCACAGAGAACTCAACAAGGTAGCTCATACTCCCGAAGAGTCTGTTCGGACTCTCATCATAATGGGAGTTCGTTCACAAACCAACTTGTGGAAAGAGCTACAGGCTAAGGACGATGTTTCATTCACCCAATTCTATAACCTTGCGGAGAAGTACCTCTGGATTGAAAATTCAGTGGCGGCGCTATATCATCGCAATCCTGGCGCATCAGGCAGTTCGTCTAGTCGGGGGGAAAGTAGGAGAACTGATCACAGATGGGCTACTGACGATCAGCGAAAAAGAAAGAAACCTCGCTATGAGCCCAAAAAGTCTTATGCTCTTGTCCCTCGTCGCGATCGTGACAGAGATCAATATACGCCTCTGAATGTATATGTATCGGCTATTCTTGATAAATCAGAAAAAGTCAGCCTGCTCAGAGAGCTCGAGCCTATGAAAACTCCCGTGTCAGCCAGAAATAATAAAAAGTACTATCACTTTCATCGGGATAGCGGGCATCACACCGATGAATGATGAGCTCTCAAGCAGGCAATCGAAGAACTCATCAAGAAGGGGTATTTCAAGGAGTATATTGACAACTCTGCTCCCGCACAGGAGAAAAGTCAAAGGGAACAAGGAAAAAGGCGTCGTGATCGCAAAGGATATTACAGTGTCAACATGATCTTTGGAGGGCGGCACCTCGAGGGGAACATGCGAGGTGCCTAGGAAAGATATGTTCATGCAACTCATCACGATCTCATCAGTGTGATGAACACAACGCAACAACCACAAAAGGTTCACAAAGAGGAGGAAATTTCCTTCTCCGAAAAGGATGCAGCCCATTTGCATCATCCCCATGACAACGTTCTTGTGATCACACCCCTCATTGGGCGCCATAACGTCCACAGAATGTTAGTGGATAACGAAAGTGCTGTGAACATCCTGTTCCAGACTGCTTTCGAGAGAATGAACTTGGACGAGGCCGACCTGAAGCTCGCCTCGATCCCTCTTTATGGTTTCATAGAGGACCACTTGATCCCCAAGGGAACGATCTTACTTCCAGTCACGCTGGGTGACTATGACGAAGTGACCAAGGTTACTGAATTCTTGGTAGTGGATTGCCCGTCTGCTTTTAATGGAATCCTGGGGCGACCTCTACTAAGAAACTTTAGGACGGTCACTTCGATATACCATTTGAAGATGAAATTCCCCACCCCGACGAAGATAGGGGAAGTTAGCGGGTCTTAGCGCGAAGATGTGATTGTTACATAAAAGCAGTACAAATGGCATGCAAAGGGAAAGGTATCTCGCGTGGCATCCCCCAACAGGCTATGGCGATCAGCCGAATCAAGCCACAGTCTGGCCCAGCCGCGGACAATATGGATCCTTGACTTCAGGAAAGCCCTTCCAGTGGGCCAGTTAAGGATCTGTCCGAAGTATCGGTCAACCAAGGCGAGCTAAGCCGAGCCGGGTGTTAAGGATTGGGAGCAATCTCAACCCCTAGCTCGCCTCCAAACTGATCAGCTTTCTCAAGGAAAATATCGATGTGTTCGCCTAGTCACACGCAAATATGGTTGGGATCAGCCCAGATATCATCTGTCATGCGTTGAACATCGACAGAGAAGCTAAGCCAGTTCGCCAAAAAAGAAGGGTGATGGATCTGGAGCGATATGTCGCCTTAAAGCTAGAGGTGGATAACCTCCTCCGAAACGGATCCATCCGAGAAGCACTCTACCCGACCTTGGTTGTCAATCCGATTCTGGTAAAGAAGCCCAATGGCAAATGGCGAACCTGTGTCGACTTCACCGACCTCAACAAAGCATGCCTGAAAGATAGCTTTCCCTTGTCCAGAATCGACCAGCTCGTGGATGCTACCTCGGGGCACGAGCTACTAAGTTTTATGGATGCGTACTCGGGATACAATCAAATTCTGATGTACGCGTCGGACGAAGAGCATACATCCTTTATTACAGATCGGAGACCGTACTGCTATAGAGTTATGCCCTTCGGCCTCAAGAACGCTGGCGCGACCTACCAGCGATTGGTTAACCGAATGTTCTCCGATCAGATCGGTAAGTCAATGGAGGTCTATGTAGATGACATGCTGGTCAAATCCTATGTCGCTTCAGATCACATACCGCATCTCGTTGAGATGTTTGATATCTTCCGACTGTACAGAATGAAGTTGAATCCCCTCAAGTGCTCATTCAGAGTATCCTCAGGAAAGTTCCTAGGATACATGGTTAACCAACGGGGAATAGAGATCAACCCCGAGAAAATTCAAGCTCTCCTCGATATGGAAAGCCTGACCAGCAAAAAACAGGTCATGAGCCTTAATGGGCGAATAGCGGCTCTAAGTCGCTTCATATCGAGGCTAACAGATCGTTGTTTGCCATTCTTCAATGTTCTGAAGGCCAATAAAAAGTTCGAGTGGACTCCCGAGTGTGAACAGGCATTCCAAAGTATTAAAGAGCACCTTGGGAAGCCACATCTCCTGTCCAAGCCTCTCCTGCAAGAGATCCTCCTCCTGTACCTGTCCGTCTCTCAATTCGCAGTCAGTGCAGCCTTAGTTCGGAAAGAGGAAAAGGTCCAATGGCCAGTATACTACGCAAGCAAGCGTCTGTTGGATGCCGAGATGCGGTATCCAAAAATGGAACGATTAGCATATGCCCTGTTGATCGCTTCCAGAAAGTTGCGACCTTACTTCCACGCCCATACAATTCAT